CCAGTCAGCACGTCGTTGGAGGACTTGGCCAGGGTGCTCTTTCTTCACCGAGTCTGCTCCTGTCAAGCTCCTTCCTTCCTTGTCTACATTCCACATCAGCGGACACTCGCCTGGCAACTTATGACTGACCCAGCCCCAGATCACGACCGTCACGCTTTGATACCCCCCCGCCAAGATGTCTGAGACTTTCGAGTTCCAGGCTGAGATCTCTCAGCTGTTGTCTCTCATCATCAACACTGTCTACTCCAACAAGGAGATCTTCCTTCGTGAGCTTGTCTCCAACGCCTCCGATGCGCTCGACAAGATCCGCTATGAGTCCCTCTCGGACCCTAGCAAGCTCGACTCCAACAAGGACCTTCGCGTCGACATCATTCCCGACAAGGAGAACAAGACCCTGACCATCCAGGACTCTGGTATTGGTTTCACCAAGGCTGTAAGTTTTGCTTTACCACGTCGCACGTGCTTGTTTGCCACACACTAACGCCACTCCCAGGACCTCGTCAACAACCTGGGTACCATTGCCCGCTCTGGTACCAAGCAGTTCATGGAGGCCCTCACCGCCGGTGCTGACATCTCCATGATTGGTCAGTTCGGTGTTGGTTTCTACTCTGCCTACCTCGTCGCCGACCGCGTCACCGTCATCTCCAAGCACAACGATGACGAGCAGTACATCTGGGAGTCTTCTGCCGGTGGCACCTTTCTCCATTCGCCCCGACACCGAGGGCGAGCAGCTCAGCCGCGGTACCAAGATCATTCTTCACTGAAGCTGAGCGGACTGAGTACCTCATCGAGGCCAAGATCAAGGAGGTCATCAAGAAGCACTCCGAGTTCATCTCCTACCCCATCTACCTCCACGTCCTCAAGGAGACCGAGAAGAGGTCCCCGATGAGGAGGCTGAGGAGACCGCCGCCGATGAGGACGACGACAGAGCCCAGATCGAGAGTCGATGATGAGAGGAGAGAGAGAGAGGAGGTCAAGAAGGTCAAGGAGACCTCCATCGAGCAGGAGGAGCTCAACAAGCAGAAGCCCATCTGGACTCGCAACCCCCAGGACATCACCCAGGAGGAGTACGCCGCCTTCTACAAGTCTCTCTCCAACGACTGGGAGGACCACCTCGGTGTCAAGCACTTCTCCGTTGAGGGTCAGCTCGAGTTCCGCGCTATCCTCTTCGTCCCCAAGCGCGCTCCCTTCGACCTGTTCGAGACCAAGAAGACCAAGAACAACATCAAGCTCTACGTCCGCCGCGTCTTCATCACTGACGACGCCACTGACCTCATCCCTGAGTGGCTCAGCTTCGTCAAGGGTGTTGTCGACTCTGAGGACCTTCCCCTCAACCTGTCTCGTGAGACTCTCCAGCAGAACAAGATTATGAAGGTCATCAAGAAGAACATTGTCAAGAAGGCCCTCGAGCTCTTCACTGAGATCGCCGAAGACAAGGAGCAGTTTGATAAGTTCTACTCTGCCTTCTCCAAGAACATCAAGCTTGGTATCCACGAGGACTCCCAGAACCGCCAGACCCTGGCCAAGCTCCTCCGCTTTAACTCCACCAAGTCTGGTGATGACATGACCTCTCTGACCGACTACATCGCTCGCATGCCCGAGGTCCAGCAGAACATCTACTACATCACTGGCGAGTCCCTCAAGGCCGTCACCAAGTCCCCCTTCCTCGACTCCCTCAAGCAGAAGAACTTTGAGGTCCTCTTCCTCGTTGACCCCATCGATGAGTACGCCATGACTCAGATGAAGGAGTTCGAGGGCAAGAAGCTTGTTGATATCACCAAGGACTTCGAGCTCGAGGAGACCGATGAGGAGAAGGCTCAGCGTGAGACTGAGGAGAAGGAGTACGAGGGTCTCGCCAAGGCCCTCAAGGAGGTTCTCGGCGACAAGGTCGAGAAGGTCGTTGTCAGCCACAAGCTCGGCGACGCTCCTTGCGCTATCCGTACCGGCCAGTTCGGTTGGTCCGCCAACATGGAGCGTATCATGAAGGCCCAGGCCCTCCGTGACACCTCCATGTCCTCGTACATGTCCTCCAAGAAGACTTTCGAGATCTCCCCCAAGAGCTCCATCGTCCAGGAGCTCAAGAGGAAGGTCGAGGCCGATGGTGTTAACGACCGCACCGTCAAGTCCATCGTCCAGCTTCTGTTCGAGACCTCCCTGCTCGTCTCTGGCTTCACCATTGAGGAGCCTGCCGGCTTCTCTGAGCGCATCCACAAGCTCGTCCAGATCGGCCTCAACATTGAGGAGGATGACTCCAAGACCGAGGAGACTCCCGCCACCGCTGCCACCACCACCGAGACCGGTGACAGCGCCATGGAGGAGGTCGACTAAGCGGTTTTCATGATACACACGGGATACCAGAAAAGTCAATGGAGTTGGACGGTTTTCGGGTACGGTTGCCCTTGGACTTGGCGTACTTTCCTCTTTTCGCGCGTTGTTGCAGCCGCATAATTCCCCCTTCGTCCGTATGGTGCGGCGTGGGTGTACTCTAGCTAGCTCGTCACGATTATGAGACAGATGAGATGCAGAATTGAACGGTTAAGAACACAACCTGCCCTTGTAAACGTGATGTGCCGTTTTGACGCTGTGGCTGTACGCCTCGTGATCCTAAGTCTGGTCCATCGTAAGACTACACATCATTGCATGCCTATATGAGTCGAAATGCACTTCAACGTCAGCATTATGTAGTGATATTCAACCAGTTAATTTCATCCTTGTCGCTCCAACGTAGGATATGCCATTCCCGTTACGGAAAGTGAGTCCATGTCTCCTCAGCCCATTCACGCGTCTGTCAAGTATATCCAAGCACCTTACCCTCTCGCCTTGAAACCCTGAAAGTGAATAAATGGACAGTTGTTGTAACGGTCTGTCACATCCCCTACACCTGAATCCCTCTTTCAGGTCCGGATACCTCCCGCTCTACAGCTGCACAAACCTGCGTCGCCCTCCAGACAGATCTTGCATCCGTGTCGCCGTCTCCCGGTCATTACAGGAAATCCAGGCAGTGCCGAATTCGCCACCAGCATGCACGCTTCACCACCTGGTCCGCACGTACCTCGTCTCGATGATCTGGCCCCTCTCGTTGGTGTGGTACGTGGTCTGCGGCGTCTGCGGCGTACGCTCGGCAGCAGCGGCCCTTGACGCCCTTGCGGCGGAGCCGCGTACTTGATCTTGCCGAGGACGGAAATGGGGTAGTCGGGCGC